GAATATTTTAATCTATTAATTTATAGTAGCTCACATGTAAACCGTAAAATTAAAAACACTTAAAAATTTAAAAATTGAATAATAAAGGCAGTAAAATATGGTACGTTGTACATTGTACATGTATTGTACATGATGTACTCAAAAAAAAAGCTTTAACTTGCCACACAGCATAGGACAGGGACACTGAATTATTCACAAGACAATACTGGTGTGGACACACAACAAAGTTTTCAAAACTTGTAATTCAATAATACATGTACATTGTACATATATGCAGTGACAATTACAAATCAGTTCAAAAATATATGCATGTACATGCATGCATCAGGAAGTGAAATTATTTGACTTAAACCATGTAGCACATGTACATGCATAACTGAATATGTACCTCAGTTGCATGAGACAAGAAAGTTAAAAATTCTTCAGTTATCTCTGTGACACCATAACGAGAACCTTGAGAGAGAGAGAGAGAGAGAGAGAGTCACACACACACACATATAAGGAAAAAAGATTAATCCAAAACATACATGTAAACAGAAACAAAGCAACCTGTACATGTACATTAAGCTCATAATACACAGCAGTTTACATTGACATGGTTTCTTTCGGGATTTCAATCCAGGAAGTCAAAATCTAAAGGTAAATTGTACATCAGGATTTTATCCAGTGGGAGGGGGCAGGAGGGAGCTTCCCCCCAAACTCTTCAGCTTCCCCACCAAAACTTTTGTAATTACATGCATGTACTGTACATGTACATGTATGTACACAACCTCCCCCCGGTCACCTACTCTGGGCTTCGCCCCCAAACAAAAATTCCTAAATAGAGCCCTGTGTACATGCATGTACATGTACGTCACTTTTGGGGAGCATAAAACCAATTACATGCACATGTGGATGTACACTGTAAAACAAGATCAATTGAGGCAAGCCACATCCAGTGATTGCCAAAACCCCACCACTATTAACCAAACTCACCAATAGTTGCCACTTTATTTCGTAGTAATGCTGTAGATAAAAAAGTTTCATCACTGATGCTCTTTGTGGGTGTGTCTGATGCTGCTGGTAAAAAATGAGCCGTCTCCTCCTACAGATAGAAGAAGAGGTGAGGATTAATGAATACAGTAAATGTATGATAACAGAAACCTTTAAATTGACACCAGCAAAGTTATCAATATGGTCCTCCTCTTCATCCTGATCCCTACATAAAGAAAGACACATGTGTACATAAAACTGTTATAGTGTGTAATTATAAGAATAATACGAATATGCATAATATTATACATGCTAGTGATGGGCGATTCCGAGTCCGGAGTATTCGATCCTTCGATTCCGAATGGAATCGTACTCGTATCGAAAGAGAAGTAGGAATCGTTTGAAATGATTCCGAATTAAACCACACCCAACCACACCTTTTAATATTAATAATAGTTTTAAAACCAGTAGTTAATACCTTAATTATTGCTTTAATTGATACCACATGGCTTTGCGCATGCGCAGATGTAGTCTCGGAATTGGTATTCGATTCCATCGATTTCAGTCTCAGAAGTATTCAGAATCGGAATCAAATGCAAATTTCTGGATTCGCTCATCACTAATACATGCATAACAAGTAATACTTTAAATAAGCATTTTTAATTCTTGAAAATACATTGTTCAGTACATGTACATGCTTTATACTCCAAGGAATATGGAAAAACTTTAAAGGATGTACATGTAATATTTAACAGTTGAATCCTTATTTTGTGCTCATGCTAGTCTTAAATTTATAGTAGAGTAACCATA